CAGTGTCGCGCCCCGACCCGCTGGCACCGCCCGGGGGTGCGGTATTCTATTCACCGCGGGCGTGCTCGTCGCGTTCGGGGCGCCCCAGGAACTCGGCGGGACGGGGCCACGCCGCTGTCCCGCGGGCGCAGTATGGCCGTCGCTCGCGGTGTGCATGCATCCCCCAAGTCAAGTCTGACACATCGTCGTGATGCGGGGCGTGTGCGGCCACGGTTACTCGCAGGCTGGTGGGAAGCCCCCCAGCGCGCATGCTACTGTTTCCGATGTGGCGGCAGGGAAGGCCCCTGTGGCCCATGCGTGCCCGCGGACTCTTTTCGCCCACGAATCCTCGCTGAGAGCGGGATCGACCGACCGGTGATCGCTGTCTGTCATTCCGATTCGTAACCTTTCCAATATTATTAAAGACAGTAAACGGTGGGAGCTCGCAAAAGATCAGCGATAGTAAAAGTACACGCACGAGACGGCCGCCCGAGCGGCCGCGGCAGTCAGTGTAAATGTGGGTAACAAGCATGTGAGTTAAGGTACCGGCGAAAGGAGAAAGCAAAACAAACAAACGAACAAACAAAAAAAGGGGGGGGGAGAGGATAGCGATGATCAGCTTAAGCGTCCATGTCCTTTTCCTGGCGGCAGCACGACAGCCACGCGAACCACATCATCGTGCGCAGCTGCAGCACGTCCTCCTTCCACGCCATCGACTGGTTCTGCTCGCGAAACTCGCGCGTCAGCATCTCACACCGCTCGATGTTTTCCGGGCTGACAAAGTCGCTCGCGACCTTGATGCAGTCCGCGAGGTTGCATACCTGCAACGTAATAGCCCATGAGTGCATGACCTCCCATCGATACCTACCCGCACACTTGCCTGATGCGCACAACCAGCCGGAATAAACACAGCCTCCCCGGGCTTCTGGTATATCCTGTGGCTCTTCACCCCGTAGTCCTTGAACAGCTCCTGCCGCAGGTTCGAGTCTAGATAGAATTGCTGCGAGTGAATGGGGTCGTGCTGGAACTGTCCCTTGAACTTCTTCCGCAAAAACTTGCGCAGCTTCACCGAGTCCTCTGCCTTGAAGATGTCCCACGCCGCCGACCCTGGTCGTCCATCAGGTGTCGACGCCGCGTAAAGCATGATATTAATAGCATCCGCCATGTCCATGTGCAGCCTCGTCGTCCCCTTGCTCCCCTGCGATTCAAACGACGCCATCGCGTTGTACATCTTGGGGCCTAATCATCCTTCAGCACGACGCACACCTTCCTCGCGGAGCCGCAATGAGACCGAGGAGCTTACCAAGGTCAGGTGCGACAGTGTTGCCGGGAAAGTGAGAGGCAAGATTCAGCACCCCGTCCCGTCGAACATAGTTGGGAACCGGCGTCGCATTGCTAAAATCGTCATACAGTTCCGGGAACGCCGTGCGGAAGTCGGTCGACGGCGGCCAGTCCTGCACACGCAGGTCAGTCGCCACGGCCAAACCAAAGCGGGGCGGACGGAGATCTCACCTTGAGCTTCCAGCAATCCCTGCGCCCCTCGTACTTTCCAAACCAACTAAAGAACTCACCGACCGTGACACGCTTGTTCTGCTCCGTCTGACACTCCAGGATCAAGCAACTCTGTGAGCCGTACTTGGACGTGAAGTAGTCTGGCGACCAGTTCACGTGGAACTTGGACGCGAGCCCTGTCACCACAAGGGGGTCTCCTCTAGCCCAAACTCTGCGGAACTTTTGTTCGTCGAGCGCCAAATCGGTGAAGTGAAGAGTCTCATGAGTAGGAACGGGCGAGTATCCGCTTGCCATCTGTGGCGTCATTGACCCTGCTGTGAATGATGAGGGATCCGGAGGCATGCTAACGCCGCTTGCGGCAGAATATGCATGAGGACCAGTGTAGTCTACGTTGGAAACACCGCTTATCTCGGACCCTGGTGTGGATGCCGACCAGTCGGCAGAATGAGAGGATGTAGTCGACAGAGAGGCATCGGCAGTACCTAGCTCTGGCAAAAGGGCGTCGTGATCTCTGTCCTGGAGCATGGCCTCCATCTCAGCAATGGCGTCTGCGAGCTCTGACCTGCAAAAGCGTGACATGGGAGAAAAGTCCTTCGCCTGATGCTCATTCCGCCTGGTGCAAGACAAGAAGAACGGGTTGACGTGCGCGTGCTTCTCGCGACGAGCCTGAAGAGCGGCGATTTCCGCCTCCGGGGCTCCCGCTCTATCGATGGTCAGCTCCCTAACCTGATCATAGCACTCCGCGCAGGCTTCGCGGCCACAGAGGCGACACATCCAGCTACTAGAGAAAATAGAGGTCATGCACGTGTCTGTCATACTCAGTCAGCCAGCGTCGACCTACACGACGACAGTCGGCAAGGTACAGACCACATGTCGCTCTGACCTCGCTTTCCCTCGGGCGGCGTATAATCTCGTTGAGGCTGAGATGTTCAAGTTCCTTCTTGAGAGTCGGCAACAACGCCATGGCGACCGTTCGCTAGATGTCCAAAACTCCGTCGAGCATCCTATGGCGATCAGGCAAAATGGGGACTGACCTTGATACGCCTGATGTGCTGCTTCTCAAGGGAAATGTTCCACTTGTTTGGGAAGTTCATGGATGGCGCATCGGGCTTCTGGCTCTCGACGAAACTGATGCCGACGATGGCTTTCTGTTCGTTCTTCAGGAAAAAGCGGATGCCCTGGAAGCGGCAGGTGTCCCCAGCCCAGCGACGAGTGCAGGACACGCAGCGCGGAAATTCCTCTGACCGATAGCGGTTCGACATGCATCTGGCAAACTGCAATTCCGGATGAAGGGGGCCGGAGGTCTCCTGGTGTGCTATGACGCCATCCGATACCACCCTCATGGCGCCTTGAGCTGGGAGAACGGCGTGAGGGAAGGATCTCGGCGGCGGAGATACACTCACAAGTAGCGGCGGTAGCCTTCTCTTTTCCCTTTTCGTTGGACACGTGAGCATACGAAACGGTAGTCATCAGTTGCGCTATGCGACAGGGCGTGTGAGCGGAGCGTGTTGCGGGACCGGCAAGCGTGGGGGACACACCGTTTTGTGCGACAATCTGGGCGGCCTCACTGCGCTTCTTGGCGTTGTAGCCCCGACGCGAAGAAGCTACGGTCGGGTGAGCGGTGAAGACGGGAGGAGACGGAGAGCGGACAGACCTGTGCCCTCTGCCGGCTTTGCCTTTGTGGGCTTCGGCTTCTTGTTGGCCTTTGGGATGGCGTCCTCCTCTACCGACTCCAAGGCGCGCTTGGGCATGGGAGGGGGAGGCTGTTGGTAGGGGATGGCGAAGGCGACGGGAGGCGCGTAGTAGGCAGCAGGGGAGCCCTGGCCCCTTGGCGGGGGCTGCATGTGGACGGGCATTTGCATGGAGCCACGGGCTGCAATGCGAAGAGAAGCTCTTTCAGTGGTCTGCCAGACTAAGACGATATGTTAGATTTCACAAGCCGTGTCTGGAAACATCATGGGAAAATAACCATTGGCAGCTGTGTATTGCTGGGCCATGTCTTGCTCGTACTGGTGGGGGTGCTGGTGCTGGTGCTGGTGCTGGTGCTGCTGGGGCGGATAGTCTGTGATAAGAGAGGGTGAGCGGGGAAACGGGCGAGGGAAGAGAAAAGACAGACTCTTTGGTGCGGCCTGAGTCGAGCCGGCTGGGATGGGGTGGGGATTGAGAACGAGAGGAGTGATGGGGAAGAGATGGGAATTACCTGTGCGCTCGTCGGAGTAGATGGACGGCAGGGCCGGCGGAGGATAGGACGAATTGGGAGGCTCGGCAGAAGGAGGCCATGTGGGGACGTCGATGCCGTAAGAGGGCGCCTCGTCGAGGGGGCGAGGGGGGCGAGAGAAAGAATCTTGGTAGAGTGGGTGGCTCGGGGGGGCGTAGCGACAGGCGTTGGGATCCGAGTCGGGTCTGTGGCCGTCCTTTGCGGCGTGGTCCCAGCTGGCAGCGCGGAGACTGAAGGACGATGCAGCGGAAGGGTAGGGCGCAGGCCCAGGCTGGAGGTGGTGAGGGGCAAGGAAGGAGGCAAGGCTGGGGAGCTGGGTGGGATTGTAGTGGTCGAGGGCGGCGGGGGCGGTGATGGGGTTGAGGAGCTCGTTGATGGAGGTGCGCTTGTGGGCGTGGGCGTCGTGGAGGGCGTTGACGTCCATGGGGGGGCGGGATGAGGGAGGAGAACGGGTAGGATGAGGATGAGGACGAGGACGAGGACGAGGACGAGGAGGAGGAGGAGGGAGCGAAGGCGTGTTGACGGGGCTCGTCAGGCGGCTTATGCAATCAACCCGTTTGGGGAGGCGCCGGGGAGACGCCGGGAGAGGTCGCGGAGCTGGGGGACGCTCTATCCGCGACTCGTCCACGGCCAAGTCAGCCGCACTGTGTCAGCCGCCACATCTTCTTACGTCGTCCGGCCCTCGTCAGCGCCGAGTCCCGCGAGTCCCTGATCCTCCACTCTCCTCCACTCCTCCCCTCCCTCGCTGACTCACTTCCCACACGCACTCGCTCTCGCAGCCATCCGTGTATGATAATATACAGCATCCATCCCAAAAACATATCCCCCAAAAATAGACAAAACATTCAGAAAAACTTGCGAATAAACCCGGCGACCCTTGGCAAGAAGGGAAGGACAAAGGGGAGTGCAAACCACGCACACAGCCCAAGGGTCGCCCCGTACCGTCATTGCGCCTCTCGTCCCCCCGGCGGTGGCTCAGCCCCTCTCTCCTTGTCCTCTGCCGCCTCCGCCGCGCCCTCGTCCGTCTCCATCACCATCCCTCGCGACTCCCCAAGCGGCGCGTCTCCACCTATACAAAAAACCTAGCGCTCAGCGCGCGTCTCTGATAACGAATGATGTGATGAGTACGTACAATCGCCCGGGACGCCTGCGCCCGACGGGTTTTCCGAACGTGCGTCCGCGCGCTTCCCCTCGGCCGATGCGGCGGCGGTGGCGAGAGGCGTGTCTGCAGCCCAAGATCATCGATGAGATTCTGCCGTCTCACACTCCCAGCGTCTGCAAATCGCCTTACCTTTTTGCCCCGCCCCCGCTCCCGCCTCCACCGTCGACGACGCCGCCGCCGCTGCCGCTGCCGCCCTCGCCCCCGCCGCCTCGTCC